AGTACAACATGAACATAAAACAACAGATAACACAAAAGGACATCGTATTTACAGGGCTACATTTACATACCTAGCGACATTGACAAGTAGGCCTACCAACAGTATCAAGTATCATTGCTCCTATCCGAGCTTTAAAAACATGCAGTGGATCCAATTTGCTCAGTTTCAAATCGTTTTGAAGACTGTTCCAAGTTAGAGGAGCTGCACACATAAAAGCTTTCGTACCCAAGTCAGTCCTTGCACTTGGCACATGTAATAAAACCACATCATGTGATCTCAGGCAATAGCTACCTGCAACTGTCTGTGTGCTCAGAGAGCAGATGCACGATGGGAGTTTACCCACACTTTGCATATTTGTCTGCTAGTTCATTTCCTTCAGACTCCTTTCTTCAGGGTTCTTGTTCTGGACCAGGTAGAGGGAGCTGGACTAAACTTTAAAGGACTCCTTCAGACCAGCTGATCAATCACAGCATCGATCAGCTGATGGTCAGGAGGGCAGGGTCTCTAACCCTCATCTGGAGAGAGCAATCAATTAACCACCTGTTATTCAGTTTCCTTCACCAATGTTCTATCGTTTGTGGCGGTAAATGCACCTTATAGCTGTTTGCCAACCGCCATTAAACCAGAAGAAGAAGAAAAAGAAGAAGAAGTATGAAATATGAAATAATTAAATATTAAACTCATCATTTTGGCTCCTTTATATTTTATCAGGCAACATAAATGCATTTTTTCCAAATCGTGCATCCTCAACTGAAAACGATTAACAGCCATGTTAATTATAACGTGTTAAAAATCATGCTTTTAGGGGAAAAGAGCCTCTAAATATATGTATTATTTACACTTATCACACAATCTTTCACCTTTAGTTTTTCGCCTTAGTTTTATTTATTTTTAAAGAGCTGGGCGATATTATCTATGATGGGAAATACGATTAGATATCGTCTTAGAATATCATTGTATTGCATAATTGTCTTTTACTCGATTTAAGGCAGCTTACAAGCAAGCGATGTCATTTTATCATTTGTATTATTTGTTTTTAAACTCTGGTCTTTACCCAATAAGTTATTATATCACACTAGTTATATAATTTATCAATCATCTTATTGAGTACATATTTGATAAAAGCACTTATAGTCAACAATACAATATTAATATCGAGTATTTAATTCAATATATTAAATATTTGATGTATTCCATATCACTCAGCTCTTTATTCAAATACACGCAATGACACCAACGGCCAGTAGGGGCGCTAGCAGTTTGAACTGTTTTTCCCATCAGCCACTGCGACATCTCCCTATAAAGTCAGTCCGCGCCCTCAGTCAGTCCTCATTCCTCCGCTACTGACAAGGTAACCACATCTACAGCCTAGAAATATATTTCATTCGGGTTTTTAGCTGACTTTTTGTATTGATATTTATCTACTTGAACAGATATAGACAAACTATTTAAATGTATTATTGATTTGATGTTTTATATGTCGGTAAAATGTCTCCTATATGGGAATAATTCGCCTTTTACAAGCAGCTAGGCCTCTCCCACGTGTAAGGAGCTAATTAGCATATGAGCTAATCTTGACTTTTAATCCACTTAAAGTCTCCTCTCTGCAGCTTTCCCGTGTATATATGATGATTTAAAATGTTGGTAGGGACAACTGAATATTTGTGTAGAATGCCAACCGCTCTGACTGCACGGGAACAACTTAAACTACTCTGTTTTAGAGCTAGCTGCTACATGTGCTAATAGCTGCTGCGTGTGCAGGAGTTAACATGCTTGGAGGTGTTGCACCCAGTTTGTAACTAAATGCATTATTTTTAAGATGTATTGTTTATTTCCTCTGGTTGCAGGCCTTGCAACAGGATCTCTACAAAATGGAGCTGATCATTAAATGGTGAGGAAACGGCAATGACTTCATTATAACCAGATGTTCTGAAGTACACTTTGAGCTACTTGTACTTTGAGTATTCACATTTTTGCTACTTCATACCTAAACCCCACTAGTTCAGAGGTAAATAGCCTACTGTACTTTAACTCCAATAGGTTTATTTAATGCCTTGAATGTGCAGATTCTGTATAAATCAGAATAAACTTTTTTTTTTTTTCAACTTTCATGGACAATTATTCCTCTACATCGTTGAAAAGGCACATAAACCTCATGGTTCATTACGAAACTGAGGGCATTATGAACTGAACTGGTCACTCAGAATGTAATGTTTTGTATGCCTTCATGTCAGTGAGGGTGAAATGTATTGCTATCATCTGTTTATCCACTTAAAGTCACCTCTGCAGCTTTCCCGTGTATATATGATGATTTAAAATGTTGGTAGGGACAACTGAATATTTGTGTAGAATGCCAACCGCTCTGACTGCACGGGAACAACTTAAACTATTCTGTTTTAGAGCTAGCAGCTGCATGTGCAGGAGTTAACAGACTTAGATGTGTTGCAGGTTAAACTAAATGCATGATTTTTAAATATCTCCCTCTTCTGGTTGCAGGCCTCAGGACAGGATCTCTGCAGAATGGATCTGGACATTAAATGGTGAAGAAACAGAAATGGCTTCATTTTGATCAGAGGTGGAAAGTTACCAAGATCTGACTACTTTTACTCAAGTACATGGTCGAGTACTTTAACTTTTACTAAGATCAGAGTACTTCCCCACCTCTGCTCTGATTGTTAAACTGGTGATGTTTCATTATATAAGAGTAGTGGACAGAAGTGATTTCTGAAACTTAATGGCTGAAGTTTAACTGATAGCATGCTAACGTTAGCAGTGTGCTATTTCACTGATCACAAAAGTGAAGCAGTTTTTCCAGATGCGTTTTTAATCTGAGTTCTTGATGTTGTTCAGGTGGAAGAAGAAGTCTCTGAGCTGGGAACCTCCTCAGATCCTCTGCTGTGAGTTACTCTATCTGCTGAATGAAGAAACTACAGATTGAAGTGGAAGTTTGTGATGATTTAGTATAAGAGTAGTGGACAGATGTGATATCTGAGAAACCATACGCTGACACTTCCATTTAAAGCTATATAGTGTCTTTGTCTCCATGTCGTGGAGCTAACGAGGGTTTGTGTCCACAGGTCTCAGAGACATGAAGCAACATGTGAAGCTGAACAGACTGCCCAACACATA